TTTCTTCATGAGTGCAGTTGCTTACAACCAAACGATCGCCAAGAGAACAGCAGAACCGAATACAAGTATCATTATGACACATTTGTTTGGGACGATGATAGTTTCATCAGCATCTTTGCTGGAATTTTGAGGACTTCAAGTGACATGGAATCATTCTTTTCAATTACATTTTCATAAACTTCCTGCAGCGTAAAATTTTTTTATGATTGACATTTGTCGAATTCGTGTTAGATTTCATCGATTTTTGCTCATCATCTTTATTGTCATTTTGTGTATTATTTATAATCTTTGTATGCAAATCATGTCGCAGTGTTATTATTTTGTCGTTATAATTTGTTGTAGAATCCGTATTATCTCGTATCGTATCGTTAAATTATTATCCTGGTTGGTAAAACTTTGCTGCGATTTTGATAACGAAATAACGAGGAGAAGCATGGAACACACAAATGCAAATATCTTTCCACTCATTATTTCCTGTAATAATAAACATTCGAATAATTAGATAATCAAATTTAGTGTTCATATAATTTTTCATGTAAGTTTTAAATTCGCAATAATTAAAACATGTCACATTAAATTTTTGCACACTTTTATTTTCTATTAATTTCAATAAAATGTGTCAAGTGCAAAATATAATAAAATAAAATTATCTTATTTTGTTTCTCAACAAAATCTCGAAATGTCGATTTGATTTTAGCACCATTACTATTAATATTGGTGATTGCACGTCTTGAATTTCAATTATCTCATTAGATAAAGTCAGTACTATATCACTGTATTCGACTTTTTTTCGTTAGTAGAATGCACAAGATACATGTTTCTGCGCGGGAGAGAAGCTGAGACTACCGAGCACGACGAGTCGTCGATAGCTTAGCAAGAAGCTGTCCGTCTATTATACCACTGACGAGGTATTGTTACGTCAGTGCTGGTATCATAGTAAAGGTACGTTTCAGGTAACACTATTAATGCTACGCATTTTAAAATTGTTTGAAATAGTATGTAATTTTATGTAATTTTCTTAGAAAAACAGTGCCGTATCTATTGTATTTTTACGGGATCAAATCTGTCTGTAATATTAATAGCGTTTGCTTATCCATCTCTGCTGCACTGAACTTCTAACGCTACGGACAGGGTACAGATTTTCGTCTTACAGATTCAGAAAGCAAGCGATATAATAACAACAAGGAATGGTGAGAATTTTGACATTTTTGTAACACTTACAATTAGTGAAAATCTTTTATTTTTTTAATGAGATTTATGCAGAATTATTTATTTCAATGTCTCTGGCGACAATATTTCATACTCGCTTGATTCGCATTTCAGATGAAGAAAGCATTTTCACTGTGCTCATTGTTTTTTTTTTTTCTGTTATGTATAATTATATAATCTATAAGAAAAGAAAAACATTTATTGCTTTAACTTGAATCGTATGTTTTCAACATAGTCTGTAATTTTTGAAATGTCGCAATAAATTAGTGAAAATAAAGTTAACGAATACGCATTTATTTTATAAAGAAAATTACATTTTTAAGAAGTTATTTAAACTACTGTTTCTTTTTTTCTTTTTTTGAAGATTGTAATTTATTTCTTTATTTTTCAATTCTATAATTTGATATATAAAAATTTATTATTTTTTATTGAAAGATGACTTAATATTAATATTTGTTTGCAGGTTCAAACTATATATATAATTATATAAAAAAAGTTTTATCACAGATTAGGCTCCAACGAGCAATCAGCAATTTAATATAATTTTATTAAAATTGAAATAATTAATTTTACAGTTTTATATGTCGATGTTAACGTTTCTTTATAAAAAATTTAGTTTAAAAACTCATATAGAAAATTTATATTACTTTACATATAATTGAATCAAATCAATGATTGCAATACTGTGAAAAATACGTAGAAGTGCAAACTGGATTTGCGTAAAATTACACAGTTTCCATCTTAATAAACATATTATGTTGTGTAAATCGCAGTTAAAGAATGATGCATAAAATATTTTTCCTGATATCCGTACTTGAATAATTATTTTCTGAGATAGATTTTTTGATTACATCATACATTTACATCAATATAAATATATAATGTAGGTGAAAATCTCTTCATTATTTACTCATTGACTTCATCGTTGTTTTTAAATAGTTTATATATCTTTGAAAATATATGTAATGATTTTTTTTATTAAAAATTAATGTTTTAAGTGATTAAACGTGTTGGATAACATCAATTAATCCATCTATCATGAATAGAAGTTTATTAACATTTTTTCTTACACTTTGTATAGATGATTTCGCGATAAATAAATTGCCTTCCAACATTATCAACAATTTGTTATTCACGATACATTCTTGTTTTAATGATCGTATTTGTGCTTCTTATGTAATTTTCTCATATGCATGTTGAAAATGAATTAATAAAATATGCATAGTATATTTAACGCAATTACTACCTTTATTTCAATCGAATAATCAAAATTGTTCTGAGAAATAATTGCCTTTTAAATTAAGAATTATAATAATATACATAATAACATTCGGCGAATTAAAATTATTATTGCACAGCGTTTCGAAATCGTTCTATTTTGTCAATGCATATGAAGCACATGAATAATTCGGAACGATTGCTTCCGGGCTTTGCGTAAGAATTAATAACTTCTTTTGTGTACAAACTTTTTGTTCGTCAAATTTCTATTATGTATGCACATAATTTTAATTCTCGTATTTTTATTTCTTTTTTATTTTTTTTTATTTATTTAATTAAATAAAATTAAAATAATCATCATATAATATGTATATAACATAGTTATTAATAGATTTCGGATTATATGCAAATTGCATATTTTTTATTTTTGCATATTCTATAAGAAGATTAATAATGTGATAAAATTATAATTTTTTTTAATTAATAAACAATAATTAGTTAAAACTATTACAATTATTTCACATTATTAATGCTGTCATAGAATGTGCAAAAAGTAACAATTATGCAATTTGCATATAATTCGAAATCTAGTTCTTAGTGTATAATTTGATAACAGTTTACAGACAGTGTGTGTGTGTGTGTGTGTGTGTGTGTGTGTGTGTGTGTGTATAAGTGGGTGTGTTTGTGTCTGTTTGTGTGTGTGTGTGTTTCCTAGAGTTAAAATATTATTGCACAACGTTTCGAAATAGTTCCATTTCAATCGTATGAAGCACTTTAATATGTAATAATTAGGAACAATTGCTTCCGGGCTGTGAGCAAGAATTAATAACTTCTATTGTGTATAAAATTTCTTTCGTCAATTTTCTATTATGCACATAATTTTGCAAGTAGAGAATGTAGCGCTGCAAAGAGCCAAATATAATACTTAGCAATTCGCTAAGAGAAGAGAGGAATAATCTCTAAATTGAGATTTAACTTTCTCTTCTTTTTTACTCTCCTAAAACGGATGTAGACGAGACAAATATATCGGTCCGAAAAAGTCGGCTGAATCGGGAAACGAACTCAAGACCTTCCGCTAATTTGGCGACTGCTCTTTTCTCTTGCAGCGGTACATTCTCTATCCTTTTTATTTACGATAAGAGCGTTCTAGCCATATTATTTGTCACATAATTTTAATTCGCGAGTTTTTAGTTTTAAAAAAAATGTTTTATTTTAATTAAGTAAAATTGAATAAAATTATTATATAAAATCAAACAATGGCGTCCGCGCAGTGCGCTATTGTCTATATTTATATAATAATTAAATTTAATTGTATTTTAATTAATGAAATAATAAAAGTGTTGTCAAGCATACGTAAATGTGTATAATTTTATAATAATGGATAGACAGCATGTGTGCGTGATTTCTCTCAAAACTATCGACGACTCGTCGCTCTCGATAGTTTCATTTTCTCTCTTGTAGAAACACGTTGTATCTTGTAGAAACGTTTCCTTGTGCATTCTGCTCTTCTTTTAGAAATACAAGATAATATCAGATATATTGATATATAGTATATGTTATAACGAGTCTAGCGAGATAATTAAAAATCAATCGTGCAATCGTCTACATTAATAGCAGAATAATCAGATCAATCTTTTGAGATTTTGTTAAGAAACACAAAAGCAAAAGATATTTTGATTTTATTACAAGTATATATTCTGTATTTAACACCTGAATTTCATAACCTTAATATAGAATCTAAAGCAAAAATTTAATACAGAATTATTTAATTTTTGACAATTAGAAATCCATATGTGAGAACTGATAAATATTGAAGAATTTGACTGATTTAATTATTACAAAGTATATACTAATATGAAATATTGTGTCATAAAAATTTCGCGTTTTTGTATTGTAGACTTTTTTTTTCATCACGTTATCGAAATCTCAGCAAAATTGCACCAACAATGAAGAGGAAGGTCATAATTTGACAGTACGATACGAGATAGATATGAATTCTACAACATTTTCTAAGAACAAGATAAAAACACTGCAATATGATTTGCATACAAAATTAATTAGCAAAACGCGATATGGAATGTAAAATAAATTTACCAATATTTCCATGAATAACGACCGCGTTGATTCTATACTATATAAACTAAGCAAGCGTTCTGTTGACAATCATGAGGATGAAGACGAAATTCCGATAAACTCTCACATCAATTTAACAAATGTCAATTATGAAGAAAACTCTACATCACAAAAAGTTTATAAAAATCTGCTTGAAAAGAATGATTTCGTGTCGAATAAAGTTTTTGAAAATTCCACTAAGTTATAAAAAATATACTAATATTATAAATTTTTATTATAAGTCATATAATATTAAGAAATAAACATATTTTTATTTGATATAAATATAACAACTTATAGTAATATCATGCAAATTGTGTAGCAGTTTTCTAAAGTTTTACAAATATTGAAAATTGAAAATAATATTAGTCCACAATTAACAATATTATAAATATTTATGTCAATGAATGTAACAAAATCTCATTTAAATTTGAAAAAGAAACGAGATAATAAATATGCTTTTGCTACGAAATCCAAAAATATGGATGAATTATAATTATTAATCTTAAACATAAAGATCAGCATAAATAAACATGATTTTAATTTTCAAATAAAAATTAAAGGTTGGTCATATCAATGTGACTTTATGCTCGTCCGGAAGAACTCATCTTCTTCTGTATGACTATATATATATATATCTTTTTACGTGGAAATAATGCTCGACAATGTTGCATTCGATTCGGATCGAGCTTTTGACAACAAACCGCAGCCGAATCGCTTGAATAACATGCGCTTGATCTTTTTTCTCCACACAAATATGATAAAGGTGCATAGATTCTGCATAATGTTTAGCAAATCAAAAACATACGAGTTGAAAATTGATACGTTTTCAGATAATACTTCCGCTGTTAACATAAACCATTTTATGCCTATTAAGATAAACAGTACGATAAATAGCTTCAGATATAGATTAAACCTGCAAACACAGTATCAGAATGCAAATATGTCTTGATTCAAGTATATTTTATCCTTATAATAGCACCAAGTATCCTTAAAACAAAGTGCAAAATATTCTTGGTTGAAGCTGATAAAATATTGCAAGGACAAGTGACAAGTGTGCATCGGATATAAGCGGAAATATAATAATTCTTAGTTCAAATGTGACTAAGTTTGTTTTTACCATATACGATTTTTAAAACAAGAATATATCTTAAGGAAACTTTTTATTATTAAGGCAAATGAAAATTTGTGATTACAAAGAGCATTCTATGCTTAAATTAATCAATAGCGTTCGAGAATAAAAAATACTTGAATCAAGGATTCCTTTTTCTGTGAACAAATATATAATTTTCATAGTTCTTGTGAATATATATGATGAATGAAATTTAATGTATAAACCTGAAATTTTTCTTGAAATTTTTATTTTTGTGAAATACAGGTGCAGTCATTAATTTGATTTTCGTTATTAATTGTTTAGAGTTGCATAGATTCTCGAAGAAACACGTAAAATGATATATTTCTGAAAATATTACCAAATAAAAAAAGTAAATCGGCGAATAGAAAACAAGTCGTCTGCAAATGACAATCTGTGGCCAATATTCATAATCTAAATTTATATTTAATATCGTTTTAAATTTGATCTTGAGCTAAAATTTCATACAACCAATCAAGGTCGGAAAATTAAATACGCGATGGGACTATTAATTATTAATACCGGCCTATTTCTCTTTTTTATAAAAAAAATGCTAAGCAATCATTTATGCGATGCTGTTTGCATAAATGTTAATATAAGTAGCATATATTTTATTAATAAAATAGATTATCATATCTCAATGCAACGATATCTGAATACATACCATTTTTATTATCGTTAAAGCAATTGTTCTCCGAATCTTTCAGACAAGAACCCGTATCCTTTTCGAAATGCTTAATTTTTAATGCCGTATAAATAGAGAAACAAATGCTACTGATGATGAATATACTTTTGAGCACATAATAATACAACAAATACGGACCAATCTCTGTAAGTATAAAATATTATGAGTTTTTATACAGTTTCTCACAATAGTAAAATGCTATAGTATTAATAAAGTTATCTTCACTTACCGTTGAACCAGCAATAATCTTGTAAATGAAATTCCGGTCGCAAAATCAATGGTACATACGCAGAAAGAATATCCATGCTGACACATAAAATAGCAAACATAAACGGACATCCCCACGCAAAGATCGTATAATATATCAACTTTCTTTTTTCTCGTTGTCTGACGTTTCTTCGTAACGAACTGAATCCTCTGCAATTTATATAACATATTTAACAAACAATAGATAAAAGAAATCAATATGTAAAAACGTTAAAATAATGTGTTTTTCATCAAGTCATCATATCATACTGTAAAGCAAAGATTCAGCTTGAAGAATCCATTCTTAAAATTGCTGTACGATAATTTTTAACGGTGTTATGAACGATTAAGGTGAAAATGACATATTCTCTTGCATTTGCAATAACTTGATAAGGAAAGATCAACGTTTACATTTTAAAAAACGATTTTACAAGGAAAACTTCAGAGTGTTATATGGAAATGTCAAGAAATTTAAAAAATTTTTGTGCGTGCGACACGTTTACTTTTTAAGAAAAAATTATCTATTTTGTCACGTTTTTTGTTTTTTGTATATAAAAAATATTAAAATTGAAGAAAATGAAAAAGCTGTAAACCATTGAAAGTAGAGATTTCAAGCTTTAAAACTCTTTTTGAAAATTTAAATTTTCATTATTCAAAACAAAGTTACAGCTATTTAAAGTTTGCCTATTTTTGAACAATTGTTATTTTTTTATGCCTTAATTATTTTAAGAAGTGTATATTTACATAACTATTATGCAAACACGACAATTAATGGTACTTTAAATTTTTATTTACTTTTGAGAGACAAATTTTTGATAAAAAATTTATTTTTCGACGAAGTAAATGAGCTGTTGAGCCAAGCGCTGTTGTTCGAGCGTTTTTTTAACATTGAAATTTATTCAATAAAATTCGTAAAACGTTTCGACTCTGATTGAATCCTCTTCAGTTACATATATTAAATTTAAAATTGATCTGACTTTTTTAAAAACGTGTATATTTCATTACATAATTTAATGTCTCACTTAAAATTGCGTCCATATTATATTATTGACATATATATAATTTAAAATGCTGTTTGTTAATAACGCTTCCACCTATCCTGTGTCTGTCGTGTCTCGATTGAAATTGACTTCAAATCAAATTATATAATGAAATGTACACGTTTTTTGAGGAGTAAGATCAATTTTTGAATTTAATATATGTAACTAAAGAGGACCCAATCAGAGTTGTAACGTTTTACGAATTTTATTAAATAAATTTCAATGTTAAAAAACTCTCGAACAACAGCGCTTGGCTCAACAGCTCATTTACTTTATCAACTGTATTTATTGTTGGGAGTCTTATAATATTAATCTATTTTTTATTTTGTAAAAACTTATCGTGTATTGCTTTATTTTATAAATTAAAAGAAAAAAAGGTCATATCAAAATATTATTGCATTATATCGAATGATTAGATTTCGTTATAATATTTTATACAAATTTAAATTAAATATATAATATGCTTATTATATCTAAAACGCCATTTTTACTTTTAAAAATAAATTGTTTAAAAATCTGTAATTAATTAATAGAAATCTCGAAGAAAACTATTTATTTAAAATTATAATTTGAACTTATTATCTTTATACTCTAACTTATAATGTCCTAAATCAAATATAGTTGTTTTTGCATGTACCAACACAATATATAAGAAAATTCGAATAATACAGTATTTTGCATATTATATATTCTCTATTTTTATCTTTAAACCGTTATATGTAAAATCAAAAAGAAAGAATTTTATATAGATAAATGAAAGGCAAGTGTTAAAAATAAATAGTAATAATATAGAATATTTTCCAATTTACCTGAATGTGCACCACATATCAAAGCTTATTATATTTAGCCAAGAGAAACCCGCCATATAACCAAATATTTTAAAAAGGCTGTAAAAATGAATAAAATTAAAGGCTGTAATAAGTAATAAAAAATAATAATATATAATATTATTAATATAAATATAAATGTAATATGTAATTTGCTCTTATAGTTGAAAAATGAATAAGAAGCAGGAAATAGACCAAAAGAGCAACGCGAAGTATAATTTGGTTGCAAATACAACTTTATTTAATAAAAAAATCATTTTTTATTAAATAAAGGAACTTTGTGTTATTATCTATTTCTATATTATTAATTAATATATAATAATATATATTATATAATAAAATATATATAATAAATATTAATATTAATAAATAATAATATATTATTTATCGTTACACGTTAAAAGTGCAGGATCTCAAAGTTATCACATCTGTTTCTTGATGAAAATAGATTTACTTTAACTTCCTACACTAAATTTTATAGTAATAGTAACGTAATAAATACAGCTAATATCAAATTAAAAAAGTTTGATTCAATATGTAATTTTGCAAAATTCAAAAACATAAAGACATATATCTATTTGAGACAAATAATTTATATTTATTATATATTATTAAAATGCATTTAAATATTATTTACTGTTTTGCATTTTTAACATTTTAACAAATAATATGTCAAATAACATTTAAAATTATTAATTAATATTTAATGTGCAGATTTAAGATGCACATTTATTACCTAATATTTAATATACATTAAATATTTGACAAATATATATACGCTATACTGATTGCATAGTTTTATGATTTAGATATATACTCTACCTATTGTAACGCAGACGGGATACTGTACATCATCTGATTTGTTAAAAGAATACACAATGTCAATTCCGTATGCAAAAAACGAGGCACCGCTGTGATTGCACAACATGAAGCCGTGTCTATTTCGGAGTTCTGGCAATATGGAATACACCAGAAATACTGACCCCAAAAGTAATATAGATACTATATAAGCACTAACTCTTATAATTTGTGTGTCAAAAATCAAGGGCTTTTTATCAGTTACCTCCTTGATCTTGTCAGTGGTTTCGGAACAGAAGATCACTTGGAATTTACTCCCTTCGACGACGTCGAAACAATATAATATCGAATCAACAAACATTTTAGAATCAGTTAAATATATAAAACCGTTATTCGAAATCATTATTTCAGAATCAATTAAATATATAGAACCGTTGGTAAAAATTTTATAATCGTACTCATACTGAAAATCTTTGAAAAGCAGATTGTAATCCTTTTTTTTGCACAAATCATAAATGGACAGCTGAAACAATTCGTTTACTTTCTTTTTGCTCTGCGTCGAATCGTTCGTGTATACCTTTGGAAAAATGTATTCAATTCCTTCAGGAATGCAGTTGTCATCAACCAGACGATAGCCAAGAAAACAGCAGAGGCGAATGCAAGTATCATTATGACACATTTCGTTTGGGACGATGATAGTTTCATTAGCATTTTTGCTGGAATTTTTGAAGACTTCAAGTGATTTGGAATCATTCTTTTTAATTACATTTTCATACCCTTCCTGAGCCGTGAAATTCCTTTTATGATTAATATTTGTCGAATTCGTGTTAGATTTCATCGATTTTTGCTTATCATCTTTATTCTGCATTAAATGCTCGGAACGTTTATGTTGAATCAAATCATCATCCTCGCGATTGCCGTTCGTATGAAATTCTTTGTCATTTTGTGTATTATTTATAAATTTTTTATGCAAATCATGTCGCAGTGTTATTATTTCGTCGTTATAATTTGTTGTAGAATCCGTATTTATCTCGTATCGTATCGTCAAATTATCATCCTCGTTGATGGAATTTTGCTGCGATTTTGATGACGAAATGACGAGGAGAAGCACGGAACACAGAAATGCAAATATCTTTTCACTCATTATTTTATGTAATAATAAACATTCGAATAATTAGATAATCAAATTTAGTGTTCATCATTTTTCATATAAGTTTTAAATTCTCAATAATTAAAAAATGTCACATTAAATTTATGCGCACCTTTGCTTTTGTATTAATTGCAATAAAATGTGTCAAGTGCAAAATATAATATAATTAAATTATCTTATTTTGTTTCTCAGCAAAATCTCGAAATGTCGATTAGATTTTAGCACCATTACTATTAATATTGGTGATTGCACGCCTTGAATTTTAATTATGTCATTAGATAAAGTCAGTACTATATTACTGTATTCGGCTTTTTCTCGTTAGAAGAATGCACAAGATACATGTTTCTGCGCGGGAGAGAAGCTGAGACTACCGAGCACGACGAGTCGTCGATAGCTTTGCAAGAAACTGTCCGTCTACTATACCACTGACGAGATACTGTTACGTTTCAGGTAACTTTATTAATGCTACGCATTTTAAATATGTCTGAAACAGTATGTAATTTTATGTTATATCATTCTTACAAAAACAGTGCCGTATCTGTTGTATTTTTACGGGATCAGAACTGTCTGTCTAATTATTATCATTTGCTTATCCATCTCTGCGGCATTGAACATCAAACGCAACGAAAAGAATACAAACCTGCGTCTATCAGATTTGGAAACAAGCGATATAATGACAATAAAAATTGGTGAGTATTCTGACATTTTTGTAACACTTAGTAAAAATCTTTTATTATCTTAATGAGATTTAAGCAGACATATTTATGTCAATGTCTCTGCCGACAATATCTCATACTTGCTTGATTCGCATTCCAGTTGAAGAAAGCAGGCATTTTCACTGTGCTTATTGTTTTTTATTTTGTTATGTATAATTATATAATCTATAAGAAAAGAAAAACATTTATTGCTTTAGCGTGAATCGTATCTTTTCAAAATAGTCTGTAATTTTCGAAATGTCGCGATACATAGTGAAAATAAAGTTAATGAATATGCATTTAGTATATAAAGAAAATTACATTTTAAAAAATTTATTTAAACTATTGTTTCTTTTTTCTCTTTTTTTAAAGATTGTATATAATTTATTTCTTTATTTTTTAATTATATAATTTGATATATAGAAGTTATTATTTTTATTGAAAGATGACTAAATATTAATATATATTTGTTTGCAGATTTGATCTATATATGAAGTTTTTATCGCGTTATTTATCATAATGGCCATAAATTGAATCGTGTATACAATATCACGGATACTTAATTCTCCACTAAAATACTCTAGTTATTTATTTCTTTGTTGTTTACTGTGCAGAATTTCTGCGCTTTTATCGTATTATATGAAAAAAAAGATTAAGTTGATGATGTTAAAACGACTCAGAATGCGGGATGAATAAATCGTGGACTTGACTACCATGTCAAAGCTGCAGAAACGGTCGAATTCTTGCAGAGAAGAAAATTGTCACGCGAAAGTTTCGTTTGATGAGATTCAATTCTAATAATGCAGTTATTAAAAAAAAGTTTTATCGCAAATCAGGCACCAACGAACAATCAGCAATGTAATATAATTATATTAAAACAGAAATAACTTTACCGTTTCATATTTTGATGTTAACGTTTCTTTATATAAAAGATTTAGTTTAAAATCTTATATAGAAAATTTATCTTAATTTACATATTATTGAATCAAATCAATGATTGCAATACTGTGAAAGACGTAGAAGTGCAAACTGGATTTGCGTAAAATTACACAGTTTCATCTTAATAAACATATTATGTTGTATAAATCGCAGTTAAAGAATGATGCATAAAAATTTTTCCTTATGTCTGTACTTCAATAATTATTTTCTGAGATAGATTCTTTGATTACATCATACATTTACACCAATATAAATATATAATGTAGATGAAAATCTTTTCATTATTTACTCATTGACTTCATCGTTGTTTTTAAATACTTTAATTTTTTTGAAAATATATGTATAATGATTTTTTTGATTAAAAATTAATGTTTTAAGCGATTAAACGTGTTGGATAACATCAAATTAATCCATCTATCATGAACAGAAGTTTATTAATATTTTTTCTTACACCTTGTATACATGATTTCGCGATAAATAAATTGCCTTCCAACATTATCAACAATTTGTTATTCACGATACATTCTTGTTTGAATGATCGTATTTGTGCTTCTCATGTAATTTTCTCATATGCATGTCGAAAATGAATTAATAAAATATGCATAGTCTATTTAACGCAATTACTACCTTTATTTCAATCGAATAATCAAAATTGTTCTGAGAAATAATTGTCTTTTTGCATGTCGAATTCAGATTGACAAATGTTTTTTAAAAAACAGATTAAAATTATTTAAATTATAAATTATAATAATATACATAATAACATTCGGCGAATTAAAATTATTATTGCACAGCGTTTCGAAATCGTTCTATTTTGTCAGTGCATATGAATAAGCACTTTAATAATTCGGAACTATTGCTTCCGGGCTTTGCGGAAGAATTAATAACTTTTTTGTGTACCAAATTTTGTTCGTCAAATTTCTATTATGTATGCACATAATTTTAATTCCCGTATTGTTATTTTTTTTAAATTTTTTAATTTCTTTAATTAAATAAAATTAAAATAATTATCATATAATATGTATATAGTTATTAGTAGATTTCGGATTATATGCAAATTGCATATTTGTTATTTTTGCATATTTACAAGAAGATTAATAATGTGATAAAATTATAATTTTTTAAATTAATAAACATTAATTAGTTGAAACTACTACAATTTTTTCACATTATCAATGCTGTCATAGAATGTGCAAAAAGTAACAATTATGCAATTTGGATATAATTCGAAGTCTAGTTCTTAGTGTATAATTTGATAACAGTATACAGACAGTGTGTGTGTGTGTGTGTGTATGAGTGGATATGTTTGTTTCTGTTTGTGTGTGTGTTTGCTAGAATTAAAATTATTATTGCACAGCGTTTCGAAATAGTTCCATTTTGTCAATCGTATGAAGCACTTTAATAATTAATAATTAGAAACAATTGCTTCCGGGTTTTGCGCAAGAATTAATAACTTCTATTGTGTATAAAATTTTTTTTGTCAAATTTCTATATGCACATAATTTTACAAGAATAGAGAATGTATCGCTGCAAAGAGCCAAATATAATACTTAGCAATTCGCTAAGAGAAGAGAGGAATAATCTCTAAATGAGATTTAACTTTCTCTTCTCTTTTTACTCTCTTAAAACTGATGTAGACGAGACAAATATATCGGTCCGAAAAAGTCGGCTGAATCGGGAAACGAACTCGAGACCTTCCGCTAATTTGGCGACTGCTCTTTCTCTTGCAGCGGTACATTCTCTATCCTCTTTATTTACGATAAGAGCGTTCTAGCCATATTATTTGTCACATAATTTTAATTCGCGAGTTTTTAGTTTTAAAAAAAATGTTTTATTTTAATTAAGTAAAATTGAATAAAATTATTATAATAAAATCAAACAATGGCGTCGCTCAGTGCTCCATTGTCTATATTTATATAATAATTAAATTCAATTGTATTTTAATTAATGAAATAAAATATGTTGTCAAGCATACGTAAATGTGTTCAATTTTATAATAGTAGATAGACAGCATGTGTGCGTGATTTTTCTCTTAACTATCGACGACTCATCGCTCTCGATAGTTTCATTTTTTTCTTGTAGAAACA